TGTGTGTGTGTGTGTGTGTGTGTGTGTGTGTTTGTATTTTTTACCATCCAAAATGGCCAACTTTCCAAATAATTCGGATAAGAAAAAGCATTGAAAAAAAAAAAAGAAGTTATTTAGCTACATTTGTAAAGTCAACATTGATAACGCCAACACCGGCCATAGATGGACAGTGAAGTCACATAGATAAATGTTATTTCATCTCTGTTGAATAAAAAAAATATTTTCTGTCTTTTTAAAAAAAATCTTTTTCTGTAAGCAATAGTAGATAAGTTGATAATAATGTTTTATGCTTTGGACATTTTGACACAGTAAAGAAAGAGTTCACAAAAATGCATATTACTGAGTTTGCTACTCTAAGAAATGCAAATGATTACCTCAAACCAGCAACTTTCTACAGTCTACATGATGCAGCAGGCATATTGGAAACAAATCAAAATGTAAACATTAGCTGGTTCTCTTGCTGTTGTTATTTTAATCCTACTTTAACCCTTTAGAGGGCACTCAGTGAAATACTTTGAAAATCAATATTTCAAGCCAATAGTGTTATTGGAATCCAGAACAAGACCTTATTAAAATTTGGATATTTTGATGGCAAAAATTTATGTTAAGGTAATAACAAGAAACACCAACTTGCTTGAATATATTAAGAAAAATAACAAAAGTGCTTCTATAAGAAAATCATGAAAAACACTCTCAGATGGAAAGAAACACATTTATTTTTGGTCCAACATAATCTTAGAGGCCTTAATACTGATACTGACAGCTACATTTTTACTTTGCAAACCTAAATATAATTTTTAACTAGGCTTATTAACTTTTTTATTTTACTTTTAACTTTTCAAATAGCTTTTTACCTTTTTTTCTCGTTAACTTTTTTCAAAATTAATTTACAGTAGGTAATATACAATTTGAAGGCTCATCTAATTGGTGAGATGCCAAAATAACATGTACAGCCATGTAGCAGCATCTTTGTGGGACTCCATTTGTAAGGCGTATGCAAGTGATCAAAAATGGTAACCTGCCCTATAAAGAGTTAAAATGAAAGTAGGAAACGACCCGATTTGGTAACACAAGTTGAATTGAAGCTGTTAAAAGAAAATTTTTATGTTTTCAACACAGAGCAGAAAAGGGGCTCCCCATTTCAACTAAAGATTTCCTGCTTTATAATGAAAACAAAGCAGCAAAAAAACAAAACAAAAAACTTTTCTTTGTACTTTGTTACTGGTTTCTGAACATGTAAAAACATACATAGCCTTTTTGTTGGCTCCTCTCTATGTGAACAGATGTTGCTGAGGGACGGTGTCCTATAAGTCTGACCTCCTCCCCCCTGATAAGGGAAGACAGAGGATATTCTGAAAAAATAACAGTCCAGGTTTGGAAAAACACTAAAGGTACGTTCTGTATTTCTGCTAGTGTGCTGACACACATTTATCTGTAAGCGTTTCCTCATCCCGTTTAAATAAGTTACTGAGAAGTTTCTCAAACTGCTGTCTTTTAGACTTTCATCAGCTTGAAATACACAGAGGACATACACCACCTAAGCTTATAAGAAAATGCAAACAGAAAACAAAGGTTTGTATTTGAATATTGTTGACATTTTCATGATATATCTAAGCTCACCATGTTTATATATTGTCTTTAATGGAACCATATTTTATTGCACCTAAGATGGAATTCAGCATAAATTGTTGTTCGCATCCAAGAATCTCTTCACTGGTAACTACCTGTCATGAACTAACCTATTACCGGAAACAGTAAACACAGACGTTGAAATAATTATTTTTGGTTATTTTTCAGCACAAGCTGGAGTTAAAGTTCGAAGCTGATGCAACAAGGAATGTTTCAGTGTCCTTCATCTCAAAATCTTTAAACTGCAGTGTTTCTTACCTTGTTCCAGGTAAGATATTTTAGACATTACAATTAACCATCCTCTTGTCTCCCTTTCTTTAAGTAAAGAGAAAACTTTGTCACAGCAGCAAGAAATTCATTATAAACCGTGATGTATAAAAGACTGCGCTGATTTCTGTCTTATTCTGCAACATGGGGAGCTTTTAAAACTATGAATTGAATAGTCTTAGTGACCCATTTAAACCATATGGTTCACTTTCTATTCAATTCAATTTTCAATTCAGTTTATTTCTATAGCACCAATTCACAACACATGTCATCTCAAGGCACTTTACAGTTCACCAGATCATACAGTCAAAGTGATTCAAAGTTTTCTATCTAAGGAAAACCAGTTGAAAACTCATTGACTCAGATGCAATCCCTCACAATAAGCATGCTTGTAGCGACAGTGGAGAGGAAAAACTCCCTTTTAACAGGAAGAAACCTCCAGCAGACCCACGCTCAGTGTGAGCGGCCATCTGCCAAGGCCGACTGGGGTTCAAAGAGACATAAGCAGAGATAAAAAAAAAAGCAGCTATAAAAGGCTACTATAATGAGAAACTGCTCCGAAAAAGGCATTAGATACAGTTGTAGGCTATAATTGATAGTGAATGTATTAGGGGTGTTTTTTAAAGGCTTACTGAGATTTTAATGACCAGAATAAGATCATTGAGATAACAAACACTTTTTAATATGCATCTAAGCATCTAAATAATGAGTCTTAGGTGCAGGGTTATAAAAATGCAATTGAACAAGTTTTAAGAACCAGTTTGTCATCTGATGGTTAAAAGCTTATTTCCACTAAATCTATTTTTACCATAAAGGTAGTTTTTTGTTAGATGAGTCAAAGGAGTGCAAATCTATGCAAAAAGTCATATATGTCTGAGGTTGCATGTTGCAAAAACAAATGGAAAAAAAAAAAGGTGAATCATTGTTATAGTTCATCAGGATCTAGATTTAGTTATTTATTTAGATTATTCTTTTAATGTCTTACTTCAATTTTAGTTGCTTTCTTGTCTGCCTTAGATCCGTGGCCAAACTTCACTCTGTCTGTGAATAAGTCGTCCAAAATCATTTCGGTAGACGTGGATTCTGGAGAAGTGGTGAAAGTCAGGTTGTGTTATGAAAAACACGGCCACTGCCACGGCGGAAACCCACAAGCCATTGTGAGAATTTGAGTCCCATTCATCTAAATGAAGATTTACTTTTTATGTTATTTATTTATTACCTTCATATATCTGTGCGTTTCTTTTCCCCCAGAATCGCTCAGCTGTTCTAAGCATCCCCTACCTGCTGCCCTGTGTGTGCGTAGAGGTAAGAAGCATTCAGAATAATGTTATGTTTTGGTGACGTTTCAGTGGTTTTCATGTTTCTATGTATCCGTTGTCTTTACTGGCAGGTGTATTACAACTACATAGATGCTGCAAGACATAAAAAGTGCCCATTTGAAAATCAAAGCCTTATTGGTGAGTGTGGCTGATGAATCATTTATTTTCTATGAGGGGAAACCTTTTCACCTCTCTCAACTCAAATGTCGCTGATTTGGGGAATTTGTAATATGCATAAGAGTTTCTTCATGTTCAAGCTTAAAAAACAGTCTGCCTTAGACTTCTTCTCTGTTAGCATTTTAAAAGTGAGCAGTTTCCAGCAACGATTCTGCTGAGAGTGATGTTGTTATATAAAGGGTGATGCATCACAGAAAACACAGGAAACTGTTGCAACCTCAGCTCAGAATATGAAAATAGTTTCCTCTGTCCTATTTTTGTTGTTTCTCTGAAATTATGTCCAGATAATTTTGAAAAGTTCCTGAGAAAGGGACTTCTGTAATTCTCTGGTATGCTTGACGTTGACTTCTGGTTTTGATACCTTGATCAATTTTTTTTTATAGTTTCTGTTGTTCTGTTTTTAGCACAGATTTTCCAAAAGTTAAAAACTTGGCTGCTTGGTCTTTCACTCCATAGATCTAGATCATATATAGATTATTGTGTCTGCCAGGATGATCTTTTAATGCCACATTTATTCGTGGAACGTACATTAATGGACTCTAGGTTGAAGTTTTGTTTTTATTTTCTCCATTGAACAAATAATTTTTCTCAGATATCCCAAGCCATCAGAAGTAGTCATCTTCTGTCCATCTGGTCACTTCATGCAAATATGTCCTGCTTATGCTTCTCAACTAAGGGTTTAAGCTCTGCACTGGTGGCAACATGATTCTGTCAATAATTAAGCCCTATACACGATCGCTCAGTCTTGAAGACTGTAAATCTTTCTTAGCTGCAGCTGAATCTCTCACACAGACATTCTTGATAATACATTAAACTTGTTTTGGTGGAAATATATCAATCCTCGATTTTCATTTGCTGCATATTTTTATTTAAACATAAACAATTTTCTAGTCTTAATGACAAAAAGTGCTAATACTAACTTTTTATTGATCTGTTTGATAGGTAGAGTGTCTCTGAGCTTTCCCTGAGCTCCTAACATGGCTGATGTAGGAAGTAAACTGATCGTTTTATGCTAGAACAAGAAAAACATAACAGCCAAAACCTGATTAAAAATATTTTGAAGGTATAGTTGAGGATTTTCTTTTTCCGGGTGGATCATTCTGGTGATATGTTTACATGAGGCCGTCCTACGTGCTCCTCTCCATTTGCACTTAGCAATGGTGAGCATTGATCACTATTTATTCACTGACTGCCTGAAAAAATCGAAGCCACCGTCCGCCATGTTGATACTCCCCACTCCCACGGACTAAAAATGCCTACACATGTAGCATTTGTCTGCAAAAACAAGCAGTTTGCCGGCTGTGGGAAGACATTACACAGGTACTTTCACTGTCAGTGTCAGTGTGTGCATACATACTTGTATGTATAGTTTTTTTTTCAAATTATCAGTTTTTTTTTTGTAACTAAGAGCAAAAAGCAAAAGTTGAACTTGATGTTGCCTGTTATTTTACCAATTTATGTTATTTTTCTAGTGTAGAAACTGAAGCTCTGTGGAGTTATTAAATTGGTTCATTCATTTAGCCTAATGCACAGACACAGCATAAAAGTATACGGCATGGCACATTTTGCAAATAGAAAAATACTATAGCATTAACAGACATGTGCTTGTAATTCAGTATTTATGTAAAATCTTAAAATTACGTCTAAAATGTAATTACCATAACAATTTAATAAATACATGTATATTACATTCAATTTTACACTTTTGGAACATCAGTATTATTATGCTCCATTAACACATTAATTTTATGATGATAGATTTATATATGTTATGTTACAAGATTTAGAGACTTTATTGACTTCCTAATGACTAAGCAATGTGATTTGCCTATTTTTGTATTATTAGTTAAAATAATCTACTTATGCAATTAAATAGCAAGTGTTTGTTAAAATGATGAATTTATCTTTATTTTAAAAGTCTTAAGTCCCCCTAAAAAAGGAAAACATCATCGTTGTTTGATGCTGTAGCGCATGTATGCCCGCTTGTTTAAACACTTCCTATTTCCTTTCTATGCTGAAGGCTGTTACTTATTACATTTCAGTTGCGTTTACGCAGGGCTAAACATTAAACAAATATAATTTTTTCAGTTTAATATTTGCTCTTTACTGATGACATTGTGGATTATTGAGAGATGCTGTTAAGAGTCCCACAGACCATGATCTTCTATAAATACAGCCACAGGGATTTGGGAGTCACTGCATCCAAAAATAAACCCTTAAAATGAAAAAATAAAAAATAAAATGCTCATGTCATGTTTAAGCTGTTCTGGGACAGGTGGATCTTTAAATGAAAAACATTTGAAAACGCACAATAAAAAACGCATCTGCTTGGTTTGTTTGGGGGCACTTTGTTGTTGTAAGTAAGGTGCATCCGTGTAAAAGTTGGTGCAGAAATGTGTGCTGGAGGTTTGTGGAAGAAATTGTCTGTTTAGTTTGCGGATGGATGCAGACATGCTTAGCCTAGCCTGTCCTGCTTTCATTTTCTGTGTGTGTTCTTGTTGTTAATACTTTGTGGACCGCATTTTGTGGGGACCGATGCCTGAAACCCACTAGGGGAATTGCTGTGTTTGGGTCAGAAGTCACGTTTAGGACTAAGGTGTGAACTGAGTTCAGGGTTAGGTATGAATCCGTAATTGTTAGGTTCAGTGGAAATGCCCCACAAAGATGGTGAGACAAGTTCAGATGTGTGTGTGTATGAATCCATGCAATATGATTTTAAGTCGTAGGGAAGTCATATTTAAATTTCAAATCATTCTGGCTTAAACATTTATATAAATGTACTTTTTATCAGACCATGTTGTCCTAAAGTTAGAAAATTTCTATTTAAAAAAAAAATCCAGTCTTAAAATCTGTGGGGTTTTTTTTTAATCATTATTTTATGCAGGCCAGTTAGTTATACGTCAGCTTGTACACCTAAATTCGGCCAATCATATATCAACGGTCATCTGTCAATCAAATTTTTTCAGTCATAGCACCTGTATTCATATGTCTTCGGCAGGCATAGAGTTAACAGAACTGGCAGCGTTGCAAGACAAGGGCTCTAACATGTACGGCTGTAAGCCTTCTACACCAAACCAAGCTTCTACCACCCTGGCGTCCTCTTCCACAACAACTCTGTCCCCGCTTTCCTCCTCTAAATAAAAAAATGTATGATGGAGGAGACTCATCCACGACCTCCGTCATACGTGTAAAGTCGGGCACCACTCGGGAAAATTTTGAACTCCAACCGTAGGAACAGTCGCATCCCTAGGACTTTAAAGCAACACTGCATAACTTTTGACCTAAGTTGCAGCTTATTGTTTAATAAATTATAATTAAGTCAGTATACAGCAGTTGGTGCATATTGATACAGTTACTTATGTAACTGGAGAAGGTCATATCTGTCCCTGAATTAGCCATGTGACCCAGAGTGACGCTTCATGGCCATCTGAGTTCCCCTTAAGCCTGAGAGTTAACTAAACTAAAAGATGTAGTTAGCCAAAATGACTTGCCATGACTTCTCAATCTGCTGGTCCAAAGTGAGCTGCTATCAGATTCCAAAACACCAAGGGGACATTTATGATCTGTTATGGTGATGTATGGATGGTTTGAACTTGATATGAAGGGAAATTTGCATGGACAGAAACTGAGAGGTCAGCAGTTTCAGTGATGGTCAACAAAGTGAGGATGCACAGACGGTGGTGTGAATGGAGGCAGGGTTGGGCACATGTCAGATAACTGTTGGTTTATACTCTGAAGTAAAGGAAAGCAGTAAAAAAAAAGTGATGGTGCCATCTATTGGCCAGTACAGCTGTGGGTTACCATGGAGACAATGGAGGCATGCTGTAGCAGAGTCATTGTTTACTTTAAGTATCTGATAGACTACAACACAAACCTCAGAAATGCATTTATCTTCTAATGAATCAAACAATTTATCTTTTACGGCCCCACTGGATAAACCTTATATCAATGTTTTGTATAAAATCATTTAACAGACACCAAGGATATTCTGCAGAGCTCTACAGTGCAAGTGTTTACCTCTTACCTGTCATGGAGCTCAGTGTGTCCAGCCCAGGCACTGGATGTCTCTGCTGCCCTCTGTTGGATGATTCACAACCTTACCTGTATACCGCTTCCCAACTCCACACTGGAGAGGGAATATGGACCAACTCTGGTAATATCTGAACCATTTAAACATTTTTTTTTCTCACAAATAATGTTTTATTCTTCAAATATCCTGGGTTTTTTTTGTTTGTTTTTTTGTACAGAGATTCAAAACATCCACAGTGGATAAACACCCCCAGATATGTGTGCAGGTGAGACTCTCATATATTATCTCATCTACTTTTTTTTTTTTTTTTTTTTATCGTGACACCAACATTTTATTCATTCTTTTTGACAGTTTTATATTCAAAATAACCACAATATCTCTTGCCTCTCCCTGGAAGGTGAGTCAGATCTAGTGTTTATACTATTTATACATGGTCGGTTACGCTTCAGAGGTTATCTGAATATTTTGACTCTCTCTTCTCTTGACCTTTACAGATAAACCTTCTTGGGAGACACATGTCACAGCAGGCATTCAAAGCGTGCGGGTCCATATTATCTCCACTGTGCCTGCAAGGTTTTCAGCTCAACTCTGTGTCCTTACTGAGTCTGGTTGTCTGCCCAGAGGGCCACTCCACATTGCAACAATGGTTAGTTTAGATGGTTGCATTCATTTTGCATTCATTTAATTCTCGTTTTTTTAGAGGGGAATGCACATTTATTGGCACTTTTATTTGAATTTATATTCAAAACACAAGTAAAAAGAGACAAAAAAGACCAGTATTACCTCAGTTATATTGTAGGTGATCAGATGAAGCTTACAGACAAGTAAAGCTATTTTGGGTGAATACATTAAAGTACTTGAGGTCATCCATCTTTTTAGACTGGATTAGAAACAATACATTTTAACAGAGTTAGAGATTCATCTGAAATACTTTTGACAAGTGCAGAGAAGGAATAGTGACAAATTAGGTCTTGGCTGTGTGGAATGTCCTCCCTAATCACCAGGTCCCTCATTCACTATATAGAGCGGGGACTATATAGTTGACTTTGTAGTGAACTCAGTTAACTGACCATTCGGACAGATGATCACTAATTTTCGCTCCCCATTGGTCACGGGACTCCGCCTCCCCACACGGTGCCCCCGCCATCTTTGTTATTTGTTGCCACTGTCGGGTAGCGACAGCGGGCAGCTCTGACAACAAATCCCATAATGCTTTCCGAGGAGAGCTCCACTCACAAAGCATTCCGGGATATATCTGCTCGTCTAGTGGCATGGATAATCACTACTTTCCAAGGTGCAATTTGGAAAATTTCGAGTCAACTGCTTTTTCATCCACTAGACTTTTGAACACTCATTTAAAATGGCGTAACCTCTATATAGTGCCCTATATAGTTATTAGGGCACATGCAGACACAGCTGTTATATTGGGGAAACGTCTAAAAAAGTAGAGCAGAGGAAGTCGGTAGATGAAAATTGTTGGTTGTTGTATTTTAACATTGAGCCTGTGAGTAGGTGACTTGTCATCTTGCTTTTTCTGTGTTTTTTTAAACAGATTTCTTATCATTGTCAGCACTAAAATGAGGCATCTCTGAAATCTTTGACATGTTTGTTCTGCAGCTCAATCGGCCACCTGAGCCTTAGCTCTAACCAGGACAAATTTGCTGGATATCGGGCCCCTCACTCTTTGACCTCCCCCCATATATACACATATAAAATGAAAGTCTTTATTGATCAATTAATATAGTAATGGGGAATCTGATTAAAATTAAATTTGATATTTGCTTAAGTTGTGCCTAAAAATGTACAATTTAAATAACCTTTTTGACTTCTTATGCTAAAGCTTGTAAACAAAGTCATCTTACAAATCCAAATCATTATGTCTGAAGTTTTTGTAGCAGAATAATTTTAATTAGAAAAGTGAGAGATGGGTTTAATTAATGTTTAATTAATGTTTTTACCATATGGCTTTTTAGTAGAAATATTTATCTAGTAATTAATAATCATTTAAATAATAATAAATATATTTATTTAGGATAAAAATATGTTTTCTTAATTTGATGCATGGATTGCAAGTCTTGTTGAAATGTGAATTTTAACTAATAGAAATAAGCCATCTTTTTAATGTATTTAAGTAATCCTAATGATAGACTACTGCTTGTGGGACATGTTTTAGATTTTTACTCAAATCGTTTAGTTCAAAAAGTTTCTGTACAGAGAGCATGCTGTCTGAAAATAAAACCAAAACTCTACCTGTGGTTTGAGGCGTGTGTGAGGCATGTTCCTCACGTGAGAGTCGCTGTACAGTTTCTAAATGGGCGGAGAGGAAAATTAAGGCTCTCCTCATTTCTACTTGTAGTACAGCAACATTCTATACTTAACGGAAGCATCTTTATTAACTCGGAGAGGCTGTACCATTGACCACACCTTTTTCTGGGAATGTAGGGTGGGGTTGTACTTCTTGAATACTACAAGGGAAAATTGGAAGAAGCAATAATGAGAAAGGATTTTATTTAAATATCAGGCCTAAGTGTTTCTGCACATGTAGCCAAATCTTCTCGGCTACATTTTGATATTTGGATGTGGTTCTGGTCCCCCCACCTCTATCCTGGATAACTGACTCTGTTGTCTCTGATCTGCTCTGGCGACCCCTAGAGGAAATATCTGGAAGAACAAGTAATAATAGACTGCACATGCACTTTATTAGTTACAGCTTATACTACTACTGCATTTACGGAAGAGGATTAGGGCCAATGGAAAAAAAAAAAAAAAAGTTAACTGAGTTTTTTTTTATTTTATTTCAGTATAGTATGGGAAAAAAGTCAGAATTCTGAGAAAAAAGTCAGAATTCTGAGA